ATTGATGTATTTAAATTACTTTCAAATCATTTATGATAAAGCACTCCAGAAAAATATTAGCAGCCAGTAATCTGGGTAATGGTTACAAGAGGCTCTTTGTACTACTCTTACAACTTCACTGTAAATATGACGATATTCTAAATAGAAATTGAGGATAATCTTACTGTGTAATTTGTCACATCAATAGACTAAATAATTTTAAGAAGGTCAGAATAAAAGGATTTGATAAAATTCAAGTGCACTCATGATTTAGAACTCAGAAAAATAAGAGTAGAAGGGCATATCTGTAACCTGAAAAAAGCATTTAAAAAATATATTCACATACTTTAATACTTTATTGTATTTCACATACAATATAACATATTCATTTCAAATATAAGATGAGATTTGACGTCTGTGTAAGTCCTATGTAATCACCAGCACAATCAAGAAATAGTATATTGCTATTGTCCCACATAAATTCCCTGATTCTCTCTTGCACTTGATTCCTACCAACCACACCCTACCCCTAGACAAAGACTAATATTCTTTCTGCCACTATTGATTAGTTTCCATTTCTATTGCTTCATATAACCATTTTCATATAGTTTGAGATCTTTGGATCTGACTTAATTTTAACAGGATAATGTTTTTTGAGACCATTTGAGGTTTTTGCAGTTTGCTTGAGACTCATCAAAGTTGTTGCAGTTTATTTCTTTTTCTTGCTGACACATTTCCACTTCTTGGGTAAATACCTAAAAGGAGAATCAATAGGTCATAAAAGTCTATGTTTAACTTAGAAGAAACTGTCAAAATATTATCTGAAAGGATCATACTATTTATAGTTCCTCCAGCAATGGATAAGAGTTTATCTATTTCTTCTGCAATATTTGGTATTTGATTTTCATCATTTTAGTGGGTGCAAATTTGTATCATATTGTTTTATATTGCATTTCTCTGATGCCAAATGATGTTGACGGTCTTTTCTTATGCTTATTGACCATTCTTAAATTTTCTTTTCTGAAATGACTTTTAGATTCTTTTACTATTTTCTGTACTTTTTTGCTATTTTCAAGTCTCTTGCTGTTTTGCTGTCTTTCTTATTGTTATTGGTTCTAAAGATTTTTATATATATATAGTTATAAGCTTTTTATCAAACACACATACAAAATAGTTTCTTCTAGGTTATAGCTAGAATTTTTGTTCTTTTAAAGATGTCTTTAGTAGAACAGATAATTTAATTTTGATAGAGGGAAATATTTCCTATCTAATAGTTTATACTTCTTGTGTACTATTTTAATCATCTTTGGCTGTTCCAAATGTGTAAAATATTTATTTGTTATATATTTTCAATTAATGATTGTATAGAGCAGTGGCCTTCAATCTTTTTGGCAATATGCATACATAAGGATTAAAGAGAATATAATGAAGAAATGCATGCCAATGAATATGAAAAAGATAAAGTGAAAAAGCTTATAGAAAATTATGTACTACAAATGGTCATTCAACAAGTAGATAATCTGAGTAGCCCTATAGTAAAGAAAGATGTTGTATTTATGTTCGAAAATTCAGACAAAAACAATTAAAATCTAGGAACAGATGACTTCATTGGTGAAGTCGATCAAATGTTTAAGAAAGAAGTAATGCCCGGTGGCTCAAGCCTGTAATCCCAGCACTTTGGGAGGCCGAGGCGGGTGGATCACGTGGTCAAGAGATCGAGACCATCCGGGTCAGCATGGTGAAACCCCATCTCTACTAAAAATACAAAAAATTAGCTGGGCATGGTGGTGCGTGCCTGTAATCCCACCTACTCAGGAGGCTGAGGCAGGAGAATTGCCTGAACCCAGGAGGCGGAGGTTGCGGTGAGCCGAGATCGCGCCATTGCACTCCAGCCTGGGTAACATGAGTGAAACTCCGTCTCAAAAAAAAAGAAAGAAGTAATGCCAATTATACGTTTTCCAAAAAAGCAGAATCAATGCTTCTCAACATTGATGTCCTTCATGATACTGAAGAGGTTTAATTGGATTAGGTGTTAGTTTTTCTTTGCAAATGTTCTTCCTATATCTATTGAGAGGATCATATGTTAATTCTTTTTTATTATTTTAACAGAGATAAACATGGTTTTATTTTTGAATATTAACTTCAATTTCAATTTCAATATAAAAAATCAACATGACATTTTATGCTGTAATAGTCATACTTAAATTTGGACCAATAATAATTGCTATATTCTGAAAAGATTTTTTTAGAACATCAATAAATAAAATGAATTAAATGGCCATGCAAATAAAATAAAGATAATTAAAAATTAATTAAATATTTATCAAGCAAAGTGTGAATACTCTGTACAAATAGAATTTTCTTTTTTCCTTTGGAGAAATTTTAGTGCACAATGGCTTATTTTGTAAAGATTTTATTAGCTAACCAAACCACATTCATGGCGGTACAAGGAGAGAAGTTATATTGGGGGTTAAATTATCTTAATATTTGGAACCAGACAAGAGTTTACAGGTTTTAATTTTTAGATGAATCATAGAAGCACATAGGCTATTTGGAAATACAGTTTTTCTATTTTTACATGCTACCTTAATTTTGAAGAATGATGTCTGACATTTGTTAATTTAGTTGCTTATATATTTATCTCATAAGCATTTATTGAAAGATTACTAATGTTCTATCCTTGGGATAAACTTTGGAGATATAACAGTAAATAAGAAAGACATAATTACCACCTTTCCACAGACTAATTTAGAGAGTTGGAGAAGATCATAAGAAAAGATAAAATATGAAGTGTCACTTACGCTATTATAAACAGGCAGATGGGCTGGGCATGACTGCTCCTGCTTGTAATACTAGCACTTTGGGAGGCTGAAGCAGGTGGATTGCTTGAGCCCAGGAGTTCGAGACCAGTGTAGGCACTATAGTGAGACTCTGTCTCTACTAAGAATACAAAAATTAGCAGGTTGCAGTGGCTCATGCCTGGAGTTTTAGCTGTTCAGGGGGCTGAGGTGGGAGGATTGCTTGAGCTCAGGAGGCTGAGGCTTCAGTGAACCAAGATTGCACCACTGCACTGAGTGACAGAGTGAGATCTTGTATAAAAAAAAAAAAAAAAAAAAAAAAAAAAAAACCAGCTATAAAAGTACATGATAGGGACATTTAATTCAAATATAAATTTTGGTGAAGGAACTGCATTTTGGCTTAGTTTTGAGGGATGACTGATATTAGCCTGGTTGCTGGAGCTTGTACATGGAAGAAAGAACATTCAGGCAGAAAAACAGCAAGTTTTAAATGAGACATAGAACATTTGAGGAAATAAAAATCACAAAATTAAAAAAAAAAAATAATGTTCTTATGGATGTAGCCTGGATTCCGAAACCTTAGGAGGCAGTTGGAAGAAAGTCAAGATATGTAGAATGTAGTAGAAGCTGAAATGGTTAAAAATGGTGTTTAACAAATGTGACTAACTAGATATGAGTGTAGAGGACAGCCTCAAGGATGACATTCATTGCTTTAGCCTTAGAAGCTGGGCTAATTAGAGATACCATCTGAAGAGGATAAGTTTCATTTTGGGCATAGCGACTCTCAGGAGCTTATGATACACCAGTGGTTGGTGGTTAGACATATGAGTCTGAGTGGAGGAGGAGACTGAGCAGGATATAAAGACTTGACATCATCAACATTTAGGTAGACAATGCAATTGTGAAAATGAGTAAGTTCATTAGAAGGAAACACAAAGAAGAAACTTGAATGTCTATATTTTAGACAGAACTTGATTATTATTTCAAAGTATGTTAGTTACTAGCCACAGGATTTAAATTATATGACTTGTTAGGGCCTCAAAGTTATCATCTGTAAAATGCAGGGTCTGAGTACTATAATAGAACATATAGCTCTAAAATACAATGAATCCAATAGTGTTTCAGCATATTGTTTTAGTTAGTCAACACAAAAGTTATATATACAACCATCCTTTGATATCCATGGAGGAATTGGTTCCAGGACCCCTGTTTACACATGGATATCTAAATCCATGAATGCTTGTAAAATAGCATAGTATTTGCATATAACCTGCACTCATCCTTCCATAAACTTCAAATAATAGCTAGGTAACATATAACACCTAATGCAATGTAAATGCTACATAAATAGTTATTATTATTGTTTTTATTTGTATTACTTTTTATTGTTATGTTGTTATTTTTCTAGTTTCTTTTTTCTTTTTGGAATGTACTCAATTCATGGTTGGTCAAACCCACAAATACAGAACCCTCAGATATGCAGAGCTAAATGTGTATCCACGGCGGCTAAATGTATAGCCACAGTGGCTTGGCTTGGCTACACCTGGCTGAGAGTTTTATAGTCCTACTGCTACTATGTATTTAATAATGTTGCCTTTATAGCTAAGGAATACAGACACAATTGTTTGTCCTTCCCTATAATTGGTCCAATATGTTTATTTTCCAAATGTGGTTGAAAGAGCATGCATTTATCAATTACCTGCTTTGTGCTGGACATTTACCAGAAAGATTGGTCAGTTTAAGAGAGCTACAACACTTCTTAATTTCTATGTTGATATATTATTCATCTTTTCCTAGGTTCAGCACTTGAGGCTTGTAAACATAGTAATTTTAAAGACAAACAAATATATATTCTTTTCAAAATATATCTCATATTATTCACATTAGAATTAATGATTCTCAACAAAATTCAGTTAGATAATACTAACGAGCGTTAAATTTGAGCTGGTTCCACAGGAGTGAAGGCCTGGTAATCAACTTTCAAACCCAATGCTTTTTCAAGTGCTATATTCTCTGAAAAGAAGGGAACCAAAGAAAACTCCACACTATTCACAAAGTTTAGTTGCTTTTGTAAATGCCATCTGCTTCTCTGTTCAGAAAAATCACTTTCATTATATTTCAAGTCCAAAGTCTCTTTTCTTTGTCTGTGACATTCTTTTTTCTTTATCCAGTGAAAGAATCCACACCAATTTTATGGTGTTTTTCTCCTCTTCTCCCCTATAGAATTCTTCATCTTGCCCCGTGGAAAGGAGCACAGGAACTATTGGTCAATTGACAATTCTTTCAGTTTTACAAGGCACATTTCATTTCTTCCTTTGCAGTTTCAAAGAGTTTTGGGGGAGGAGAAAAACCTCCTATTCACAATCAGGATGGCTTTGTTTGAGATAAAAGTTTCACCCCGTGAAATATCTTTGCTGAGACGTAATGAATAGTATTAGTAATGTGGAAGAGGCTCAAGTGGCTAGAAAATTATCAAAACTTTTAGCAATCAATAGGCAAATTGTGCTTTAGCCTGAATGACTATTACTAAATATGCCTATTCATCATTTGTTAGCATGTTACAGCTTTTGTAAAAAAATATTATAGGACTGGACGTCTCCCACCTCAAACGTCACTGTTACCTAACTATTTAAAGGATAATTTATGGATAATATTGAGATAATAGACAACAGCAATACCTGTTATCTATCTATATCACTAAACATATGTATCTGTATCTAGCTATGTATATGACATTTGGAAAAGGCAAGCCTACACTAAGTGCTGTATTTTTTATTATAAATAACATAATACTACAAATATGCAAACACACAAATAAAATAATAAAATACTGTATCTAAAGCTAATAATTCCTAATTATTTTGGCCTCATCTTCCTTCTTTAACATGCATTTGGGAAGATATTAAGAGGATTGCAACCATTACATAATATTAAAATTATGAAAAATAGTATTAGGGCTCTATAGAGTAATCAACCACAGTTAGGAAGACAGACAAACAGCAAGTTACTAAGAGATTTAGCTTCTGTACATCTAATAAGGGTGTGAACCTCATGTGAATTTGTAGATACATGTTTTTGTTGCTATAAGCATTTTTTAAATTATTGCCAGTTGCATATTTCAATGTTTTGTCACTGAACAAAAATTACTGATTATAAATAAAAGAAATACACACTTAAGCATTAGAGTAGAATAATCGTTATTAAGATTGTATTGAGAGCATTTTAATTTTGGTGGTACAAAAATGGAAATTTGGTTTACATATTACTACTTTGGTCAGCTTGAAATTTGTTTATTGCATACTTTACTGTTTTAGAAATAATAATGAACTTATGCATAGAAAAGAAGTTATAGTGTTACTTTGTGCTAAAACAAAGGAAAGCCTGCATGACACAGTCCCTGCATGTAATATGATAGGAACAATATTAGTGCATTGAAAATAGATCAAAATAGGTAGAACTTTAAAAGCAATGGAATAAAATACCTGTAATCCCAGCACTTTGGGAGGTGGTGGTGGGTGGATCACTTGAGGCCAAGAGTTCAAGACCAGCCCGGCCAACATGGTGAAAACTCATCTCTACTGAAAATACGCAAAAAGAATTAGGTGGAGCACAGTTGTAATCACAGCTACTCAGGAGGCTGAGACAAGAGAATCGCTTGAGCCCAGGAGGTGGAGGTTGCAGTGAACCAAGATCACACCACTGCACTCCAGCATGGACAACAGAGAGTGACTCTGTTTCAAACAAACAAACAAACATAAGCAAGGGAATAAAGAACTCAGTATCATGCCAGAGAGCTCTTTTTAACTCTTTCTGGGCAGCAACTGTCATTCCACTCTACTTTTATCTTACTCTCATTAACTTTTCCTACTATGTTGATTTAAAAAAATAAATTGTAATATCAATTAAAAAAAACATTTGCAATGGAGAGACTCAACAAGTTAAAAACGTTACTAAAATAATATTATAACAAATATATTTCCCAGAAAACTTTTTCCTATCATCAAAATTTCTTATACAAAGGAAATGTACATATAGGGCCAAGAGAAAAAAATATATATATATATATTTGTATAGAAAAACAAGTATTAGAAAAATTATTTTGAAAAGAAAAATAATAAAATGCAGAAAATACAAATATAGCAGGATAATTGTGGTAATAGAAACATTTTGACTAGTTAGAGATAAAAAATCAAGCTTATTGTTTTCACAACAGTTTTGTAATTTTATGAGATTGACAGACCCAAATTAGTATTATTTCATCAACATTCTTTTTCTCAGCACTAGACATTTTTTTCTTATTACTCAAAACTGAATTAAGAAACAGAAAACAGATGAAGAAAACTCAAACCTAAGTTAAATGAATATGCACTAAATATTTATTCTACACAGAAAACTCTGAAAATAACTCAGTAAATACATACTAAAGTTCACTACTCTAAAGATCTATTGATAACAAAAAAGAACGAAAGAAAGAAACAGAGTTATGGGAAAGGCAGACAAACAATTGAGAGTATACTGGAACTTACTCCCCTTTATCTCCTTCTAAATTATTTTTTCACCAGGTTAAACTATTATCAAGTGTCTTAGGAAATTAGAGACTATTTTTGAGTGATTTAGGAAATTGGTTTCTCAGAATGATTTTAGTATATTATGAATCTTCAAATAACCTTTTATTAATTTAATGTAGCTTAAGATTTTGAAAATAACTGAGGCATAAATAAGAAACAGCAAAAGGACCCTCTGCAGAAGAAGTCAAGAAGTACTGCAGAACCACAGAATGAAAACAACAAGCATCAATAGAAAAATGAAATATGTAACATATGAAAGGAAAGAGCTTAATTTAAGCCATCCATTCATCTATCCATCTAGTTTTAGAACAAATTTGATGTTCAATGGACACCTGTTAAGATATAAACCATATTCTAGTTTGTAATTAAAAGATGCTAGTCTTAGGCATTCACCCTATTTTATTGAAACTTTGACTTAATAGTACAGTTGCCAAATTGTGCTGCAATTAGCAAGAGTAATACTTCACTTGACAAGTTACAGGGAAATTAGCAATATTACACTTCCGCCATATAAATGCCTTACAAACAATTGCACAATGAAATAGACCTCAAATTATCTTTTGAACTTTTAAAATAGGCATTGATCTTTAAAATTTGTTTCTCTTCTGCCATTTGAATCTCATAGTTCTTTTAACTAGTATCGAGTAATCTTGAAATTAAAGAACCCTTTAAGTTTTCTTGAGATTAATTTTTTCCCATCAAATTTAAAGCTGTAATTTCTAGGAAAGAAAAATTAATTCTCATGATCTGAGTTCAAAAATAATTCAATACAGTCCCTATGACAGGCAGAATTAAGATTTTTGGTCCTTAGTATACATGCTCCATATAATCCCCTACCTTTCAATGTGGTTGGGACTAAGGAATATGATGGAATATTACTCTCATATTTACACTACTTATCAGTTGACTTTGAGTCAATCGAAAGGGATACTATGATGAGTCGGCCTTACATATTCAGGTGAGCCCTTTACAAGAGAGTGAAGTATTAAAGAGATATCCTAGAAGAAAGCAAATGGCAATGTTTATTATTATTATTTTGAGACAGAGTTTCTTATAAATGATTATTGCTAATAGCTAGAAATAAATACTTAAGCTTATTAATTTCTGACCTTATCCTTATAATTAATGAAGGAAAATTGCTAATTGATTTATATAATTGTGCAATTTTCCTTTAGTTGATATTTACAATCATGACTTTTTTTTTTTTTTTTTTTTGAGGCAAAGTCTTCTTTTGTCTCCTAGGCTGCAGTGCAGTGGTGCAATCTCGGCTCACTGCAACTTCTGCCTCTAGGTTCAAGTGATTCTCCTTCCTCAGCCTCCTCAAGTAGCTGGGACTACAGGCACATACAACCATGCTGGCCAATTTTTGTATTTTTAGTAGAGATGGGGTTTTGCCATGTTGCCCAGGTTGGTCTTGAACTCCTGACCTCAAGTGATCCGCCCACCTTGGCCTCCCAAAATGCTGGGATTACAGGTGTGAAACACCGCACCCAGCCAATCATGACTTTTTAATGAATGCTTTTTAAAAATCATTCAGGCATATTTAGTCATGTTTTCATGGAATGTTTTAAAACCTCTAATTTGTATTACTTAGGTTTTCTTCTTATAATTTTAATAGTTTTATGTCTTTGCAGTATTTTAAAATAAATATTTTAGTTTTAGTTATTTTACAGTTACAAAAAATAACAAAGATAGAACAAAGAGCTCTATTATACACCATACACTGCTTTTTCTATTTTTAACTCTTTAAATGTTTTTATAGTGCATTTATTATAATTAATGAGCAAATAATTCATGATACATAAGTCAACATTTTTTCCAGATTAGTTTTCCTTATGTCTCTTTTTCTGTACCAGGGTTCTACCCAGCATACCATAATACATGTAATTTTCATGTAGGGTCATTTTAGGGATAAAGTTTTCTCACACTTTGCTTGCTGTTGATGAGTTTGCCAGTTTTGAAGAGTACTAATTAGATATTTTGTGGAATGTCCCTTAATTTGTACTTGTCAGATATTTTTCTTAGGATTGAAATTGAGTTGTAATTTATATATGTATATTCATATATATGTACTATGTATGTGTATATATTAAAATAATATATATATTAAATTTCATGAAGTTTTTTATAGTTCTTCTGTAAGGGATAGTTGTACGAAACCAAGTTTATCAATTTTTCTGGAAGTGTATATCCTATAACCAAGTGAGTATGCTAACCAGGATTAGACACTCAAATCTCTTCAGGGGCCAGATTGATGTAGTAAATATTAAAATTAGAAGCTTATAAAATAATAATAAGTGAAGATAATGCAAGGTTTTTTCTTGCATTCAAGGCTAATGTTTATTTGGCCCACCACGTTCAACCTATTGCAGGAGGGAGCATGTGCGAGAGCAAGTGTAGGGCCTGGCTGGCTGCTCCAGGTACCGGGAGAAAGCTGCTGCCCCGTTAGACGCAATCGAGTGGGTGCAGGATACAGCCAGCCACTCCAGGCACCAGCAAGAGCAAGTTTTGTGGGGGACCTGTGGCGGTGCACAGGTGGGGGTGACTGTGAACCTGAAACCCCACAGAGGCTGTTACAGTGCTCATGTAGTTTCACTGTCCATGAACAACTGTATGTTAACAGCTCAGTTGGCCCCTTGCCTCATCCTGTGGGGCAGCAGCCCTCCACCAGAGAGGGTGAAGGGCTGGTGTGATAACCTTTTTTGATAACTGCAGTCCGTGGATCCCTAGGTCGTGTCCAGAATTCAAGAAGAATGAAGTCACATGGACACTTGAAGGATGGTGAGGGTGGAGAAATTTACTGAGTGGTGTGAATGGCTCTCAGTGGAGAAGGAATAGGAAGGTCAGGTAGTTCTCCCTGAGTCAAGCCTTTTCTATCTCTTACTGACTGAGTCTGGGGTCTTATAGGCACAGAATGGGTGTTGCAGGGTGGGTCATAAGCAATTTTGGAAAAGGCAACATTGGATTGGTAAAAAGACATTATTCAGAAAGAACCAAACTGGGGAGAGTG